CTTTTTCTTGTGACTGATTCGATACATATTCTTTCAAGTACCATTTGACTTTGACTAAACAAGTATAAAGTCAGCAGTCTATAGTATATTACAGTCACTTATTAGTAAAAGGGAGGTTTTGCCTAACAGGCCGTTTTCACATTTCTTTCTGCACATTGGAATGAGTTTCTAATCTTGATAAGAGATTTTGTTGTATACATCAGGACATTAATTGACTATTGCATTTCTCCAGTATAAGTTTAATCCACTGGTTTCCAGTGAATTATCTTTCTTTTTTTCAATTTATGTCCAAAGTCTGAATGTTCCCCATAAGAGAATAGCCTTGTATGACTGGCTCTTTAAACAAAACGTTGATGTCTGTGGGGTAGAAGAGACACATTGGAAGGGAGAAGATGCAAATAAATTCACCACAAAAAATTATCCTAACATTATGCATGCATCTCTAAAGGATAAGAAAAAATGTGGTGTAGCCATTATCATTTCTAAAAATGTTAAATATGAATTAATACATAAACACTGTGATCCTAAGGGAAGAGCAATCTTTTTGATCTGCAAACTGAATAATAAGATGATTTCATTTCTCAACATATATGCCCCAAACAAGAGACAGGTCCATTTTTTTAAATAGTATAATGAGTAGATTTATGGGATTAAGGGTACGTTCATACTTCTAGGTGATTTAAACTGTGTTGCTGATGTAGAGAAATATAAAGCCTCTTTAATTGATAAAATACTAGATCCAAAAACAAGAGGCTTAGCCAAATCTATTGCGAAATTTAAATTATATTACATATAGAGAACATTGAATCCCTATGGAAAGGAATTTAACCATTATTCCCATAGACATCAATCTTTCTCTAGATTGGATATGATCATGTCATACAGTGATACTGTTAAAAAATTTAAAAGGAATAAAAATCAATAAGATAACTATATCAGACCATAACCCAGTAAGTATGGTAATTGAGATGGATTATACCCTATAAAGAGGTAATTGGAAACTCAGAGATTCTGAACGATAAGAAAACATTAGAGGAAATGATTCTGAATTCTAATCTATATTTTAAGGAGAATTTAAATGAAGAGGTTAGCTTGGGAAATATGTGGGCTACATACAAATGCGTAATTAGAGGATGTATAATTAAAATAGAGGCTCATAATAAAAAAGTACATTATCAATCGATGGCAGATCTGTATTTGAAATTAGATAACCTAGAGAAAATCTACCCTAAGGAACAAATCACTATTTTGGAAATAGAGCAAACTAAGGGGGAAATTAGAGACTTTATGGTAGATAGAGCAAATAAAACCCTAATTAAATGGAAACAGAAGTGGTTCTATTTGGGAAATCGAGCAGATAAATTCTTATCTAATCAACTTAAAAACTCTAATCTTAAGGAGAGAATTTTCATGGTGGGGTAGAATAAACATTATAAAATCCTATATTCTCCCAAAATGGATCTATTTATTTTGTATGATTTCTGTGGCATGTTCAGATAGCTGGTTGAGCTTATTGCAATCTATATTTAATACATTTATATGGCAGGGCAAACATCCTCGTATTAGTAATAAACGTTTAGCATTGAAAGGCAGCCAAGGTGGTTTAGGGTTACCCCAGATAAAAGAGTATTTGAAAGCTTGTATGTTAGCACATATTATATATTTTCAGTCTGATAATGTTAAAGAGGAAATCTGGTATAAAATATAAATAGGTTTAACAAAATCTAACGTTGCTACTAAAGAGTTGAGTTTAATATTGTGGTGAACAAGGGAGAATAAAGAAAAAAATAGAGAGATTCAATCAAAAAGTAATGTATTTAATAATCTCTTCAACATTTGGGAAAAACTTAGACAGGTATGTCATCTTCAGGATAGAATTATTTTAAGTCTCCCGATAACCCAACTGATGTATAATATAGATCACATAAATCATTTCCAAGTGGATGAATGCTGGCCTTAATAGTATTGAAAATTTACTTGATAACGATAAAGTTAGAGATTTTACTAACCTGCGTGCAGAGTATGGTATAAACAACAAGGAAATATTTAACTATATTAGAATAAATGGATATCTACAAAAACATTTAGTTATGGATAAGTCAACAAAACAAACTAAATTGGCAAGAATGATCATGGGTATGAATCCCTATAATCAGTGGGTGGAGCAATGAATAATAGACAGGCAGATATTAGCTCACCCCTCTGTATGGCAATATATCTCTCGATGTGGTGTGATACATAAGAGAAAAAAAAACATAAAACAAATCTAGTGCAGATGGTATTTGCAATATACTAGATGCAAAATAAATAAAGTTAGACACACTCACAATCTTCAGAGCCTGAGAGTAAGGCTCTATAATGATGCAGCTGTGCTGTTATAGGTAGCACCCCACCTTCTTGGATAAACAGGAATGTTACGACAAGCAAAACATAGGAGATTATGGTGCAGTATGTCTGTGCTTATAATAAGCTAAAATCACTTCATAAAAGAGGACTCTCACCTTAATAAGAGCCCCTATGTGCCTTGGCTCTCAGGTGTAAATGCCTGGTGTCAATTTGTGGGGTGACACTCCCCAATCTATAACCTGGAATCGGACAGACTACCAAATAGTACTAAAATCCACTATTTATTAATACAGAATCAAAGGTGAATAAAAATACATAAAAGCAAAAATAAAAATAGACTTATCAGTCTATGGTAGTACAGTCCTTGTATGCCAAAACACGTTTCGCTGTAAAAGCTTCTTCAGTTGCCTGTGATGTCTTCCAGGTCCAGGATTCCATTTAAATATCTGTGCTCAATTAGTCTATTCCGGTCATGTGATGAATGTCCTCCAGTCATTGTGATCTGTGGGCAAACTGCCCTTACTGTGTTGTATGGGTGGTTTCTGATGGTGTGTATGGATCTTCCCCTGAGGGAGGTTCAAAACGTCCATTTTGTAAAACACAAAAAAAAGGGATGGGTAAAATATCAGGCTTGTTGTTACTAGTGCCAAGTGTAGATAATATTCCATATTCATGTATGCACATAGATTGAATAAATATTTATACAACTATAAATTTAAATCATTTTAATAACATTTTGTAAAATGGAATATCTGTACTCAATTGGTCTATTCCGGTCATGTGATAATTGTCCTCCAATCATTGTAATCTATGGGCAAATTGCCCTTACTGTGTTGTATGGAGTAGTTCCGCTGGAAATGAGGTTCAAATGTCCATTTTGGAAAAGGGAAAGAGAAGGGAAAACATAAAAAATAAAAAGATGGATAAAATATCAGGCTGGTTGTTAATAGTGGCAAGTATAGATAAGTAATGTTCATGTATGTACATTGATTGAGTGAATTATTATGCAACTATAAATGTAAAGACATTTTTATAGAAAATTATTTTTTTTCATAAAAATAATTTATAAAATGGAATTTAAAAATAGTATATGTTTCATAAAAAGTGATATAACTCAAAGTCTGCATTGAGGCCTGGTTGTAGTGAATTTAGATTAAAAATCCATTCTATTTCGGCCCTGCCTAGTTTTCTTGCCACATCTTCTCCTCTCCAATTGCCAGTAATTCTCTGAATGCCCATGAATTGTAAGCCACTTGGGTCACAGTTGTGGTAAGTTTTAAAATGTGTAGATATGCTGTGTCCATCAAATGCTTTTATAATGTTCATAGTATGTTCCTCCACTCTTATGTGGAGAGCTCTCTTTGTGTGGCCCACATAAGAGAGTCCGCATGGGCATATCAATAAGTATATAACATTTTTAGTATGGCATGTAATTAATTCTTTAATCTTGTAGTTAGAGTGACTTCTTTTGTGAGGGATTTTTAAAATGGGTAATGTGTTTTCTTGTGTTATTGGTGTTCTTACATGCTAGGCAGGTTCCACACCCCAAAAAAAAAAAAAACCTGTACTGTTATTTTAAAAAGTCTTGCAAGATTTCTTTTCTTTTTAATACGGTTATTTACTAATTTTTGTTCTAAACTTGGGGCTCCCCTAAAGATCATTTTTGGTTTCTCTGGTAAGATATTGTGTAATGTGGGGCCCTGTCTTAATATCGGCCAATGTTTACATACAATGGTTTTTAAAAAGCTGACTTTTTTGATTAAAATCACTTAGTTGTATCTTTATTCTTATATTTTAAAAGGTCCTTTCTTTCCATACGTAAAACTTGACTCAAGCTGGATTTGATGCTTGCCTCATTGTATCCCTTATCATTGAAGTCTCTCTGTAGTTTAGGTGCCTGTTCAATTAAGTGCTCTTTTGTGCAATTTCCTTTTACCCTGAGGAATTGAGACCGAGGAATGCCATTTAACCAAAGGTGGTAGTGACAGCTTGAGGATTGGATAAAACTATTTATGTCTACAGGCTTAAAATGTGTTTTTGTTTTTTCCCTTCTCGTTTCCTTTTCCAAAATGGACGTTTTGATCCTCCCTGAGGGGAAGATCCATACACATCATTAAAAACCACACGGAAGTGACCTCACTTCCGGCTGAAGTATGGGCAACTTGCCCACAGATCACAATGATTGGAGGACATTCATCACGTGACCGGAATAGACTAATTGAGCACAGATATTTAAATGAAATCCTGGACCTGGGAGACATCACAGCCAACTGAAGAAGCTTTTACAGCGAAACGCGTTTTGGCATACAAGGACTGTACTACCATAGACTGATAAGTATTTTTATTTTTGCTTTTATGTATTTTTATTCACCTTTGATTTTGTATTAATAAATAGTGGATTTTAGTACTATTTGGTAGTCTGTTCGATTTCAGGTTCCAGATTGGGGAGTGTCACCCCACAAATTGACACCAGGCATTTACACCTGAGAGCCAAGGCACATGTGGGCTCTTATTAAGGTGAGAGTCCTCTTTTATGAAGTGATTTTAGCTTATTATAAGCATAGACATACTGCACCATAATCTCCTATGTTATGGACAGATGAATTAAAATAAAATGGCTATTTACTAATGTCTATTTATTCTGTGTTCACTATGTTAAAACTGGCTGCTAGAGTAAATATTCCCTTCGCCCCCTACAATGTGTTCAGTTGCTGTTTACTATGTAAATTCTTCATCCTGATAAGCATCCCCCTTCAAATCAATAAAACCTTGTGTAACCAAAGTACCTGTGATAACTCCCTTTACTAACTCCTCCCCCACTACCTTTGTGCCAGTTAACAGCTATATGCCACGTATAGCTATATGGAGGATCAGTGGAAACTACTCACTCCCCCTCCCATCGTGTATCCAGAAGTCTGTAATGATGACACTACATCCTGTAGGGGGGTTTAAACAAGAGGCCCCTTTCTCTGTTAACCAATTGGTGAATGTATACTGTATGTTTAAACTGTGACGTATTTTTGCTTTAAGAAGGAGCCCCCACTCCGGGGAATAAAGCATTCCTGGGTTTTTCACTGATCAGAAACTTTGTCTCCGGTGTGAATTACTTCTAGGGAAAGCGTGCACGCATTAATCAATCAATTTGGAAGGTGTAGATAGACAAATTATCAAAGTTTTCTTTGATCCAAATCACCTATGTTTTGCTTGTCTTATGATTCCTGTTTATACAAGAAGGTGGGGTGCTACCTATAACAGCACAGCTGCGTCATTATAGAGCCTTACCCTCAGGCTCTGAAGATTGTGAGTGTGTCTAACTTTATTTATTTTGAATCTAGTATATTGCAAATACCATCTGCACTAGATTTGTTTTATGTTTTTTTCTCTTTTATGTATCACTCCACATCGAGATTTATATTACCATACAGAGGGGTAAGTTAATATCTGCCCGTCTATTATTCAGCGCTCCACCCACTGATTATAGGGATTGTCCTGTTAATCATTTTTCTCTATGTATTTTATGATGAGGGAAGAAAGGTATCCCCTCACAGGTGTTTAAGAGCAGCTATTCACATGTTGATTTTGAAGCGCTACTTATTGTTCACACTGAGCTCACTTGTGATTAAAAAAATGGAAGAAAGAACTAAAAATTGATATTGGTTGTGAAGAATGGATGGAATGACTGAAAATTGTGAATAAAAATATTAATTGTTTAAATCTAGTGGAGATACACTATAAACGTTTAAATAAATGGTATTTGGTTCCAAGCAGGTGCTTAGACCAGAGAGGAGATTTTCTTCATATATAGTGGGATTGTCAACCTATCCAATTTATTGGAAAATGATACATATAAAAATTCAAACTTTACTTTTAAAAACATTTGATTTTACTCCTAGTCTGTTCCTGTTACAACTAAATATTCAAAATATTTGTGGTTCTGCTTCAAATATTGTTATAAATAGTCTGGCAGCCGCTAAATTGCGGATTGCCAGAAACTGGAAGATGATTACAGCTCCTTGTTGGGAGCAGGGTAAAATCCAAATTATCTATCAAATTAAAATGGAGATTGGTTTAGGTAGAACCTCATATGAGGAGTATAAAAAAAAAATGGTTGAAACAGGAGGAGAAAAATTAAGATAGAGTTACTCTCCATCGACGTATAAAGCTAAATTGGCAAAAGATGTTTTTTTCAACAACAGTAGTGGAACTTGAAATAAGAAGAGTTATGGATAAACCTCCAATCTGCCTTCTCCCCGCAGCAGAGAGTATATATGTATATTTTGTATATTTTTGTCTTTGTTTGTTTTGGTAGGATGATGACTTATTTGTTTTTTAAACATATTATTGATGTTAAGAGATAAAGTGATCAGAAGTTTTGTATATGTCGTGAAATGTTGTATAAATGATAACAATAAAAATCAAATTTTTTTTTAGAAAAAAATGGGAAAAATGGAAAAAAATTGCCCATATCATGGATGGGCAAACTCATTATTAAATTCCTTTTTTTTTTTTCACAAGTACACTATTATATTTGCCAATTACTATTGCTTCAAACAAATATATTTGTACTATACTAATTCAGCTAATTCAGCATCCATTATTCCAGTTCGTTTATAACTGGTAAAAGCTGAAGCAGCTAACATTATTTACGGACTGTTATGAACTCTCACTCTAAATGATACAATTGTATCAATACAAGAACATTTTGTCTGACTATTGAATTTATTGCAAGAGCATATTCATATTACTTGTTTTATATATGCTTTCTATTTATATGCTATTCTAAATCATATCATACTGTCTTAACATTCTTAAATGCTAGTTCATATTTAAAGGTATACACTACTCCTGAATACATATTGGATTATTCATCCAATATTTTTTGTCTATTGCACTTATAGGGATTTTTTAGTGGAGTCCCCCTTTTCAGTTGAGAGTTAACCTTTTAGCTGTGTTTTGAACTCTATCTTCAGGTACACTATTGGGACCTTTATGTTTTTTTCTCAATATTATTAAAGCCTACATATTCCCTAGTACTTGTGAGTACCATAAGCACTGCGCTGGAACACCATAACTACTGCAAAACCCCACAAACCACCGCAGCTTGGTTGGGATCTCGCCGTCTCTCACCCATCCTGGACCTAGGACCTAGGACCAGGATCCAGCTTCCGGTGGGTAGACCTCTCTTAGTCCAGATAGCATAGCAGGAACAAGCTCTTACAAGAGCTTAGTGATTATAGCAATCCCCCAGAGTGTAGTTCTCCAATCCCCCAAACATGAGCCAAACTTCATGAAGGTGCAAGATGATCTGAGCTTTAATGGTTTAGGTTGGCTTTTATACAATTATTCAAGCCAAAGGAACACCCCCTGGACCTGATGGGGCACAGGAACACAAAGGACACAAACCAATCAAAACAAACATACAGTCTGTGACACGCCCATGTACAGCTCACAATCCCTCCCCTCTGCTCGGGAGATAATTGAGCAAAGTCCTGTAAGTAACTCAATTATCCCCAGGCAGAAAAAGAAAATTTCACAAAGTTCAGAAAGTACCCCAAATATGTTACATCCCTGGATAGCCCAGATCTGGGTGAACAACATATCCCAAAATTGCCAAAATCAGAGCAGGTGTTCAAAAGTTTCATGGAAGTCTCTTTTTGACCGGCTGCAAGCATGTCTTCATGCCCAAAACAGTTCCAGGGAATTTGGGCCAACAGTCGGTCTCTCTCTTTGTGGAATACAAAAGTACTTGCATTACATGAATGGAGCCTTTTAAAGTATATTGGGCAGGATATATTGCAGGGCCCATGGTCACAGGGTAGGAGGCAAGCAAACAGGCCCCTCCAAAAACTTGTGGCAAACTCACAGAAAAAGGGGAGTTTGTCACACATCTTCCCTCCCAGGGGGAGACTAACCGGATACCTGACATCCTGTCGGTTGGTGCCTGAGTTAGTCGAATAGCCCACCCACAACAAACAATTACTGGACCTGATGACTCTTGTAGTCTGTCCGGTATGTCTCAGGTTGCTGATTGGGTGTCCGTCACCCCCGATCTTTTGGGTGCTCTCAGGCAAGTAGCTGTGGGTAGTTGGTGGGCAGAGGCCAGTGGTGCTCTGCCCCATAGCCAGCGTTACAGCTCAATAGTGCAGGGGGTTGCCTGGTCCAAAACCACATGGACCGGTTGGGTAGAGGCCAGCAGCACTCTGCCCTGAGGCCAGCTCTTCTGCTGGAAGGGGGGTATTGCCTTCTCCTCCACTAACCCCAGAACCTGGTTGTGCAACTGCTGCCGTAGAGGTGGACCAGTTGTCCCTTCTCTCGGTAAGGTACACGGCCGGTGGGGAATGAGACCAGTTGTCTACACTCCCTGGAGGGTACACTGCCATTAGGGAGAGAGACTGATTGTCTCCTCTCCCTGTAACGCTGCTCTGTGCTGGGTAGTGGTACCAACAATCTCCTCTCCCTGTGATGCTGGCTGCTGCTGGGGTGAGATACCGGTTGTCTCTTCTCCCTTTACAACACACTGCTGCTGGGGAGTCAGACCGACTGTCTCTACTCCCGGTAATGCTGCCTGGTGCTGGGTAGTGGGTGCGATCATCTCCCTTCCCAGTAATGCTGGTTTCTGCAGGGAAGAGGGACTGACACTCCTCTCTCCCGGTAACTCACTCTGCCGCTGGGGAGAGAGACCGACTGTTTATTCTCCCAATAACACCCTCTGCCGCTGGGGAGTCAGACAGACTGTCTCGACTCCTGGTGACACTGCCTGGTGCTGAACTGCTTGCTGCTGCTGGGATGAGGGACCGACAATCTCCTCTCCCGGTAACTCATTCTGCTGCTGGGGAGAGAGACTGACTGTCTCTTCTCCCAATAACACACTATGCCGCTGGGGAGCCAGTCCAACTGTCTCGACTCCCGGTAACGTTACCTGGTGCTGAACTGCTTTCTGCTGCTGGGATGAGGGACCAACAAACTCCTCTCCTGGTAATACTGTCTGCCGCTAGGGAGAGAGAAAAACTGTCTCTTCTCCCAATAACCTCTTCTGCCGCTGGGAAGTCAGACCGACTGCCTCAACTCCCGTTGATACTGCCTGGTGCTGAACTGCTTGCTGCTGCTGGGATGAAGGACCGACAAGTTCCTCTCCCGGTAATACTGTCTGCCGCTGGTTGTCTTGTCTCCCTGTGAGATGCACTGCCGCTGAAGAAAGAGGCCAACCCTATCTTCTCCCGGTAACTCTGGCTGTAGCTTGGGATCTGGGCCGGCTGCCCAGCATTCCTGTAGGGCCGGTGGAGAGACCTCGGTCCCATCTTTATCTGCCGTCTGGAGATCTTCCCAGTCCCAGTCTATGAGGATCCCCCGTAACAGATCCCCTGTTATTGCCTGGCCAACAGACTTGGAACATTGTAACCACTGTATTTGTAACTGTAGTTATGCTGAACATATGAATGAGAAAACGAATAACCCTGCTAATCCGTTCGTATCACCGAACAAACTGGCGAACTAAAGACCACCCAGACCCGGCGAGTGTTGCCAATTAACTCCTTGACTCTGTGCCAAACCACAAATGTTCTAAGTGGTTCACTGGGTGGCCGTCACTTCGTATGCATGGACACATGGCGGCGGCCATCTTGTTTTGTCGAACACATCCAGGGGGGTTTGGTCATCGAGTGTCTGGAACTATTTTAGGACACTCAAACTCCCAAACACAGCTGAGACTTCCAGGACCACTTAACTTCGCACAGATTCATATGAACAAGACGGCGTTCTGTAAAAATTACATGAACGAGGCGGCACACAACCAAAGGCACTAACAATAATAAGAATGACTGTTTGGTATTTTTAACATATGAAAAGGGACCGGCCGCACCAGCTGAATGCATGGAACTATTTTGAGCAGGAGCCTTGTGTGCGGCTGGGCAGAAATGGGACTTACATCTATCTCCCGAACCTCTGAAACGATTCGTATGATTTTTTGAATATATTTGTTCCCTAATTATGCTCGTTCCGAAAATATATGTCTTATGGGAATGTGATGTATAATTTTAAAAAGTTATGAAAAATGAGTAAAAAGTGTATTTTACGCTTGGAGATAATTGAGTTGATACAGCAATTAACTCAATTATCTCCCAAGCAGATAGGAGGAATTTACTGTAATGAATGGGAGTGTTACTGTGTGACTGTAAACTATTGGTTGTTGAGTTTGTGTTTTCGGTGCCCAAAAAGGTCCACATGGCTGGTAACCTTGTGGGAAAAGTTGCATAAAAGCCAGCCTGGCACATTAAACCTTCAGTTCCTGCTTAACCCTCATACGTAGCCTTGTCTCATTATTGTAGGGAACCTGCATCTAATCACTAGCTCTTGTAAGAGTTCTGCTACTCTCTCTCTCCACTGTGACAAATGATGGGACATCAAGGTTACACTGCAGCACAACCTCTCGCCGGGGAAAAGGATGTCTCCAATGGCATACACCCCTCTCACTACCTGGGTGGCCATTACACCCCACTTTGGTAGCTGGTAGGGAAGCAGGGGGTACCTTAGCCAGGTCTTTCCAGCTGAAGGGTGGTAGATCTGGTTAAGCCTGTCGGGTAGATTGGGTCCGAATTGAGCTGAGCAGGTGTTGGTAGTTCTGCTCCAACTCCCACTCCATTGTTACCAGGTGGGTCATGTCTCGTCTCACCTTGCTGGCATCAGCCCAAACATGCATGCCCACCCTGTAGTCCCAAAATCTAGGCTCCTCTGTGATGCCAAAAATCAATGTCTTCCTCTAGGGCATCCCAAAGTAGACCATGGCCATCAAAACAATCACCTTTGGGCCAGTCATGCTCGGCCGTCCAAGGGGTCTGCCGAACCATAAACCACCATAGGGCCTGGTAGGTGTCGTCTAGCCACATTTTTTTTTTTAAATCATTAATTAAGTTACAATGTAACATTGATATCTGTCAGGAATCCCTTAATAACCCTTCACACATTTATATATATTTTTTTTTTTTTTTTTTTTAAAAGAAGACAACCTAAGGTATTAAACTTGGGTCTTTTTGACTCTTTTCAAGCAACCATTTTACTACCAATTTATGCCAAATTAAAAAAAAAAATCTGATTTTTTTTGACACACATAGCAATTTAAGAATACATGTACTGAGAACTTTAAGGGTTACTTCCAAAGAACACCCCAATATGTATTCAGCAACATCTCCTGAGAACAGGGATACCACCCATGTATAGGTTCTCTAGGGTCTAAAAGACCTTATTTGGAGGGTGTGCATTGCAGTTTTCCAACTTGGAATTTTCACAGCTGGTCATCATGCACCCACATCCTATTTGGGACATTATTGAAGCCGGCCAATGTAATGTCATACCATATATTTTTGAAAAGTAGACACCCTAGGGTATTGCAAATGGTATTTTAACACTTTCCATGCACTAATTCTACCACCAGTCTTTGTCAAAACTTTTGAGTAGTCATTTTTTTGTGTTATTTTTCTCTCACATTGTACTTTAGGCATGGATTCTCAGTTCCTGTTATTTGTTACCGACAAAGAACACCTTAATATGTGTTCAGCAACATCTCCTGAGTACAGCAGTGCCCCCAATCTACAGCTTTTATGGGTTTGTGCAATTTACAGCGGTAGGGCTTTTCCATGTTTGCACTTTGAAATTTGCCAGATTGTTTTGCTGTGCCTATGTTGCCTTTGAGACCGTATAACAGCCCAGGAATGAACATTAACACCATCATGGCATAGCATTTGTAAAAGTAGACAAAAAGTAGACACAGTATTCAAAATGGGGTATGACCAGTCTTTAGTATCCACATAGTCACAAACCCTGGCCAAAATAGTATTTATATTTGTTTTTATTTTTTTTTTCATTTTTCACACAAACTGCCAGTTCACCAATGATATTATCAGTATAATATGTTTTACTGCTCTAAAACACTCATATTTACGTAGAGTATGTCTCACGAGTACAACAGTACCCCTCAAGTACAGGTTTTATGGTGATTTGGAAAGGTTCACAATCAAACATAAGATTTGTCAATTTCTGTTTTTGTAAATTGCTGTTTGCCAGATTGGCTATGTTGCCTTAGAGACAGTATGGCAACCCATAAATGAAAATTAACCACACCATGACCTGCCATTTGAAAAAGTAGACAACACAGGGTATTCAAAATGGGGTATGTCCAGTCTTTTGTAGTAGCCACTTAGCAACAAATGCTGGCCAAATTTAGCTTTCATATTTTTTTATTACACAAAAACTGCACTTTTTATGGTTTTAAATACTCATATTTGTGTTGAGCAAAGT